CACCCCCTTGTTCGGCCGATGACTACAACTCTGCTACTTGCTGTGCCTACACTTGGCCCCCAGCTCCCCCTGCCCTCTTAGACACACTACAGCCAGGCATCTCCGTCACCAACCGCCCGGACCAGGCGCCGTCTGGTATCACTTTCCCTCCCTCCTCCTCCTCCTCATCCTCATCATCATCATCATCATCATCCTCTTCCACCTCCTCCCTCTTCCCCTCCGTCCACCCGATGAGCCTCGGCGAGCCGTACGTTCATCTTGCCTTCCGAGCCCTGCAGCAGCTGCCCTCGACACCGCCCCCTCCCTCCCCCTCCTCCTCCTCCTCATCCTTATTATCGTCATCATCATCAGCATCAGCAACAGCCGCGTCCTCCGGTCTTGAGCTCCCCGGCGGACCGACCGACCCTCTACCGGAGTCTCGTGACACTCCGGAGACCGACGTTGTCCGATTCATGCCAGTCTCGCACGACTGTAATCAACAAACTTCGCCTCGACAACCGGCCGGTTATCAGCATCAATATCATCATCATCATCATCATCTGAGCCCGTACGAGTGTGCACGCAGTTTTATCCGCCGTCGAAACGCTCGTGAACGCGAACGAGTACGTTGCGTGAATGCTGGCTATGAGTCGTTGAGACGTCGTCTACCTTTGGCCCCGACCACAGCCGCTGGGGGTCACGAAAAACGAATGGCCAAAGTTGAGATTCTACGCGCTGCCATCACCTACATCCGCAAATTGCAGGCGAGTCTGGAGGCCTGACCTGAGACAAAAAGTGCTTTCATAGAACTGGTCTGGCCCCGTTTTAACAAATTGGCCGTGTTGTCAAGGCGAACAAGATGACAAAAACCTTGTCCAAAGTTCTCTGCCACACTAATCATGATAATTGTTAGACATCAGGGAATCTACCAAGACGATAATATGATTTTGGAAAGTATCATAAATACTATGACAGAGGGCTTGGTACAAGAAATGGTAATCCATGTCGCCTCGATAGCACGATCAAATTGTGGAAACTAGGAAAGAGCCTACACTATCTTGATCTTCATGTCCGAGAAGATGCATCCATCTACCTCTAGTTGGGTACTGGTTACCATGTCCGAACACGCGAAAAAGCCTCTGCAGGCGTGTATTGCTAGTCATGTTTATCAATTGCAATGGGATTCAATCGTTCAACTACGTATCACTGGAACCAGGCCAACCATCAGTCAGTGAGGTAACATTTATCCTTTGCCTGTACTTCTTATCCCATCAAACTAGATTGTCAGAATCCTTTTCGTCTTTCCAATCACACACCCTCTCACGTCCGTTATCGCATCCTCCAAATGATCAGGCCCATAAAGTCTTCTTCTCCACGGGACTCCTATATGCATACACACACACTTATATACATGCACACATACAACTACACATCAGCTAAAATGTGTCCAAGTGCCTGGTCCACTTGACAGAGACACTGCTTTCTTTCTCGATCAATTTATTGGCTCAGCAACCGATTATCACTAACGTGTTCCATCTACACAATCATTCTTATCCGTATTCCGCGACTTATCTATTCATCCTGCAGTCTATATACGAATATGTGTATATTTTTCCATAAATTACTCCTAGAGAGCGTCAGGCCTATCCTCATGACCCAATGCAACGAGGATACTTGCCGCCGTCTATATGGTTACTCGTTACTTTTATATAACTTTTAATCTGTTCACTTCGATTTCGAAATGGTTGAAGGCATCACCTTTCATGTGGGCTCTTGGCAATTTTGTTAAAAAAAGACCAATTTCGACGAAACATTAAATAATTTACTAAAATTAAACTTTTCATTTCCAAGTAGCAGTTGTATGAGAGGTTATCGTGAATTAACTTCACTTTAAATTAAAGTAGGATTACTTTCTGTATAAGAAATTTTCGAAACTATCACTTGATCATGAATGTAAATTTAGTCACCCTAGTTCGCTTAAGGTGACTTTAAGACAGAAAGTTAAACAACTGATAGCCTCAAAAACTACTTATATAAAAACTAAGTATGCTCGTCTATTGAAATGTCAAGCAAACGATTGCTTAATCGGCGATCCCACAAAAAATACGATTTGGGTGAGAGATGACTTGCCCTTATTATCACATCTACCCTGCTACCCTCTGGCATCTGTGGCTGGGCAGTTGCAAGGCAGTCCCGTCACGATATGCCCAAAGTCGGATTCGAATCCCGTTGGAGCTGCTATGTGAGGGGATAAGTGCAGCCGGGAATAAGATAGGCTTTTGGGAGGCTGGGCTGGGTTAATTTTAATGGCGTCCTGAGGTGTACTTTTCTTATTGTAGGAAAACTCAACTAACTTCTCCGCCTCACCGTCTCATCAAACTTCGCAACCCAATTTGAATTCGGCTTATGGCATTACGGCAACATATTACCCCCATTCAACACAGCTCAGGTTTATAGAGTGTCACAAGACAGGTGTGTATTTCAAGTCAAAGCAAGTCGATCTAAAATCACATTTAGGCAACTATGTATTTACCATTACGACCGATGATGTTACTTATATTCTGTATGAGTAGGCTTCGAAATAATTCGAGAATTTAGTCCTCTTAAACGACCCAGAGCGTTAATAATTAAGGACCGTGTAGAAACATAGTGATTTTAAATTTCAAGTGATGTCATTGACAGTAATGACAAATACGTGTTTTCTGTATCTAAATTCAAACATATATATGATTTGAAAGAGGTTTTGGCTTGTTTTGAAGTTCGATTCTGTGCTATGACCTATTGGAGCTCGTGGCGTAGATTAGCTAAATTGTAAAATGTCGCCGCAGTGCAGACGCTTCGGTTTAGAATGTTGTTGGAAAGGTTGATGAGGGAATGAGCTGAGGCTGTATGCGCGGATTAGCCAGGATTACAAATCATGTTAGTTGATTAAAATTAAATGATATTCTGAGGCCTATTCTTTGCATTGTGTGCGAAACCACATTAACGTTCTTTAAAGCGCCTTAAGCGTCATAGATTGCAAAACTTAGTATTCAAGTATAACTGATAATCGAAAAGAATACTCTCCCTGAACAATGCTGCTTTAACTGTAAGTGCATGTAGCGTTTGCAAAAAATGCATTTAAACTTATTCACTTATTGCTTAATAAACAAGAGCTCAGTATATAGTTGGTAGGCTTCAAGAATATCTGTAGAGCTTGACTAAGAACTTTAGTCATATTAGGAGGTATGAATAATAAAGCAATTTTTGCTACACAGAATTCAGCTTTATATACAAGAATACATCATAGTCTCGAAACCTACAAACAAGATATCTAGTGACGTTGCTGAGGGAAATGGGAAAATTACATTCGTACACATGATAATAACTGTTAGAGTAGGAATTGTAAGGGGCGGCAATTTATTAAAAAACAATATACGCCCTACAAAGCACCATGGATGCAAACGAAGTAGAACATGAAGTAAGTTGACCTCATATTCACAAATTGGTTTTGTTGTCAGGGAAACTTATTAGGACGCATCATGTCCGAAGTTTTCTGTCATGGTAGATACAATTCCCAGCCACACATCGTGGTTTAGGTACATTCACATCAAACAGGTATAATGCAATCGAGGAGCATGACAATGGGCAATTTAAGGGAAACGGAAGGGCTGCACATACCATCGTGGGCACATTCAACTGTCAAACCGTAAGCAACTTTGACAATCTCGTATATCTGATCTACTGGTCGTCTCGAAACCCAACTTAAAAACGATTAATACTACAAACTACACGGATCAAGATGAGCAGTTGCCAGGATGGGGCTTCTAAGAGAAAAACAAGGGAGACAGAGAAAAAAGTATTGGTGCCAACCCTCTAATAAAATGAGCAAAGAAAGCATGGTCGCTGCAAAAGAATTGGAAGATGAGGATGATCCTGAGAAAAGGAAATCGTTCATTATCAGATTGAATGAGAAAGGATTATGTATAGCATGACCGGGTGAAATATAGCATCTTCCTGAGATGTTGACGTTTCATTAAAGGAAAACCTTCTAGCATCATTCAACACGATTTATTGCGATTTAAGCTGACTACAGTTTTTATAAGAAAAGGCCTTTAATCAAGATCACCGAAAGCGATAAAGGACTATGATATGATGAGACCCAGCTGAGTTCGAAACTGCAGTCCAGTCTAGCCTGTATGGCATCGTGGGGCTCATTCATATGATTGTGAGAAATACAGATATTGTTGTATCACCTTTTGCGACCTAGAACGAATACGGCTCTTGGTAGTTTGCAAACGTATTCAAGATGGATAAAGTACATTAGTAGGAGGTGTCAGTGCTCAGCGAAAGCAGAGGAGGTTGTCACGTGGATTACATCAAACCGTAACGGATCAACAAGAATCGGGCGTCGACTTGTGGTGAGATTGACCATCAGACACTGGCACAGGCAATGATGTCGCCACAAAAACATGTTGGTCCAAATGGAGCGATGCGAGACGAACAAAAGGTAAAAGTCTTCTGTTCAGTCCTAAATGGAATGTTGCGCTTAATTTCATTTCAAGTGAAAGTTTGTGATGAAAATTCGTCAAGGTTGATCCCATCGTTAGACGATTGAGCAAGAAGCACTCATGCTTAATTAAGAAACTCAAGCATAGAGGGGGTGTTGAGCTGCTAGGAGGAGGAGTCGGAGCAACTAGACTTATGTTGCTAACCAATCTAATCATGACCGCACGTCTTGGTTGACTCTTTCTCTCTGCCACACAGACAAGAAGCACATCAAATAACCAGATGTGGGTCCGACATTGCGCAATCAGTGCTGGTAAAGATAAGAAAGCTTGTTAACTTGAATTTGATTGTAAGGATGATACCCTGCTCTGATAAGTGTTCGTCATACGCCGGATGAAGTCTTAGCACATTTCCACCGGAGTCGAAGGAGATTTCCCCTGAAACAGCGTCAACAAGGATATTCTAGCACAACCGATCGCCAGCTGGTCAAGAGGAATCGGCCATCGTTTTCTCGTGGGAACGACCTTCGAATCTCTCCATCAAACGCTTTCACTCGAAAAGTAAATAAGTTCAACAATTCAACAAATCAGAAAGCCTGCGTGGGCGTCATTAAAGTGAGATGAATGAGGCAGCTTGAATATGACCTGTATTTGTTCAAACTGCCATGAGATGTCACTGCTGCTTTCGCATACACATACAGAAACAAACACACACAAGGACATGTCATAGTTTGACACATGGATGTATACCGCATTAAAGTACTTGGATCTAGAGTACATATACACACAGCATTTGGCAATAAGTAGATGGGTTCACTGGATTCAGCTTGAATATAAAAGCCGTTTTTACCATATTTCGTTGGAAGTATTGGTATCTGAATTTTTTCAAAGTGGTATTTATTATGCCAATCGACTATAGTATTTAATGGACGCTTGCAAGTAGGTTTCTGTGACTACCGGTAGATTTGATCTCATTTGAGAGAGGCATTCTGTCTATTTCGTTTATGGCTATTTGGGCGAGGTAGAAACTGCAGGCAGCTCCAGACCGGATGAGCCTACAATTTCGTGAAATGCAATGGAAACGTAATGCCTACTCATAACAATGTGGGAAAATGCAAGTGCCATTCTTTCATCACATTTACCGAAAAAGGCTGAATACTGCTCGTATGTTGGATCTACTGCTAGTCTCTAGATTCTATTTATTATTGCAATATCAGCTTAAATATGTTGGCAAAAACAATACCTTGCCTTAAGAATGTCCATCATACGACGAACGAGGGTCTGGTATGCTTTGC